TGTCTGTTCCAGGTGATTTTTGGTGATGGGAGACTCTAGGAGAAGCTCATTTGGGATAAGGTAGGGAGAAATAGAAAATGGAGGTTCTGCTTGGGACTCCAAGGGTCATGTCCAGCAGGTAGATGGCTCTGAGTCTGGTGCTCAGAAGTGAGGTTGGAGCCAGGCTGTAGCACGAAGCTTGCTGGTTTCCAAAGTCTGGAGTTCAGGGTTGCCATGGAGGCCCCATCACTTGGGCACTGGAGCTAACACATGAGCCTCATCTCCTCTCTGGGTCCTGCCACAAGCATCCACTGCTTGATACCACCTCAGCCCCTGCTGCTTCCTGTGGTTGCTCCTGTCTTGGAGGGCCAAGTGGTCACCATATACACTCTCCACCTCCAGGTAAGACTTAGCGATCCTCAATGTTTTAAAGACCCTTATTGGCCTGACAGTTTGTAAATGTCCCCTAGATCTCATCAACTACCCTTTGACCTCCAGGAGGTGTGGGGACTGCCCGTTTCACACTCTCCAATCAAGGAGGAGGAAATGGCTGTCCAGAGTGGCCAGTGATCTGCCCAGCGGCACCCAATATGCATCAGCCTTCCTGCTGGTGCAGCCCCATGATGGCTCTTCATCATCCTGACCTACTGGAAAAGCCTCCCCAGCACAGCAGTTACTCATGCGTTTGCCCATGCATTCAGCAGGTGTTGCATCAAACGCCAGGGACATACAGACTGTCATTACTCAAGCAAGTGACCTCTGAGCACCTTGAGGACAGTTCAAATAAAGTGGGTCTATCGGGGGGATTCTGATTTAATACTTGAATGGTACTCTGGGGCCTGTGTGGACATGCACTGGCAACACGTAAACTGGAAAACAAAGCAATTCTCCCAGGCCAGCAGGTGGTATGGAGGTTAAGATAGCTGTATCCCACCTGACTGACTGCACAGTTCAATCCTAGACTCAGAGACTTGAAAAACACTCTAGGCTCATGTGCATACATGCCCAAAGTACTGAGAGGAGAATGGAAAAGGGATTGTAGCATTGCCATCCCCTCCAAGGGGTGATTTCTCTCTCTCTTTCTCTCTCTCTCCCTCTCTCTCTCTCTCTCTCTCTCTTTCTCTCTCTCTCTCTCTCTCTCTCTCTCTCTCTCTCTCTCTCTCTCTCTCTCTCTCTCTCTCTCTCTCTCTCCAGTGAGCACATACACCCTATAGCAATTTTTTTTTTAATGAATTAAAAAGAAATTCCCCTGCCTGTGGAAGAAAGCATCTTCCAGAGATGGCCACAGCCACAGCCATCTTCCTTCCATCTTACATGTCTTCCTTGGGACAGTGACACTCTGCCCTCTCTGCCTTAAACCTAGACGGACCTCAACCCACTGAATGACTTTGGAATCCCGGTCATAAAAGGCAACATGGCAGTCCAGCAGGTGGCATGGTGGTTAAGGTGCTAGACTCCCACATGGCCAACTGTGATTCAGGTCCCCGACCTGGCTTGAAAAACACACCAGGTACGTGTGCGTGCATGCCCAAAATCCCAGGAGGAGAGTGAAGGAGAAGGGATTGCAGCATGGCTGTCCCCTTAGGGTGTGATTTCTCATTTTCCCTCTCTCTGTCTCTCCCTGTCTCTCTGACAAGCACACACTCTCTACGGCAGAAGCATCTGCACCTTTGTCACCCTGAATGGCCATGTAAGGGGCCTGGCTGTCTGAAGCCACCATGCTGGAGACACCACCCGAAGAGACCCTGAGGAATGCCCACGCAGTGTCAAGTGGGGGAAGGAGCCTTGGGGTGACCCCAGTTCAGCCACCGATTGCCTGTAACCTCATGAGAAACCTAAGCAGAACTGCCCACCTGAGCCCCTCAGGACCTTCTGACCCACAGAAACCTGGGATATAAGTGATTATTTTTGGTTTCAAGCTGCTAAGTGTTAGGGTATGTTGCAGGCAGACTTAGTACCCTAACATAAATGAAAGGTAGTGGTGGGGGCGGGTGGCCAACAGTGGCCTGGACAGAGAGAGCAGCTTATGCAAAGGCCCTGGGATGAGGAGGTGGAGCTGAAACACAGGTGCAGAGGCTGGCAGGGCCATCCAGCCCTGGGAAGTGCTGGCCCCATCTCTAGGGCACAGATGCAGAGACAGGCTGAGAGGGGCAGTGTCCTTGCACTCTGCCAGGAGAGGGCAAAGTGGGAGGAATAGAACGGGCCCCAGGGCCAGTCTGGCCACTCCCTGTTCCAGGTCAAGCCCTTCCAGACTGTGTGGACCCCACTGGGTGGATCAGTTTCGTGCCCTGTAAAATGGGAGGATAAGAGCACCGGCCTGGCTGGGATTACCAGGCAGCCCAACCAACAAGCCCAGTCATAAGGACAGCAGCATCTGCTCCAGGCCTCTCTGCACAGGCGCTGTGTAACCCCAACCTGCATGAGCACGCCTCCTCCTGGCATGGCAGCGGCCATGTGACCCCTTTAGCTGTCAGGCAACTGAGGCAGAGCCAGGCAGGCCGAGCTCTGAGCACACAGGAAGGCTCAGGGCTGCCGGTGGCCGATAACCATCTGCTTTTTCTCTTCCTGCCAGAGCCCCACACCTGGCTCAGCGCTCTCACCCGGATGAGACCCTGCTCATCGCTGCCTGAGCAGCCTGGCTGTTTTGCAAAGACAAAGAAACAATACCCAGCAGCAGATCAGCCTCTATCCCAGAAACAAGCAGGGAGTAGCACAGTTGCTCCCTGGCAGAATTGAGGCAGCCCTACCAACCCAACCCACCTCCTGCCCAGAGACGGTGTCTCCCAAGGACAGATTCCTGCCCTCATGGGGTTTACCTGCCAGCGTTCTGTGGAGGGGAGACCCATAAAACAGCTAGAAACTGAAATAGGCAGTGTTAACTGCGTGCTCTAACTCCATTTCCATGCCCTATGGAGTGAGCTCTAGTTTCCTCACTCAAGAGGAAGAGGACCAGCAGATGGTGTAATGGCTATGTCGCTGGACTGCCATGTAGTCCACCATGGTCGATGGTTTGAGTCCCAGATCTGCTGGCTTAAACTCACACCAGGCGCGTGTGCGTGTATACCCAAGATCCCAAGAGGAGAATGGAGGAGAGGAGATAGTGGCGTGGCCATCCCCCCTGGGAGGCTGATTTCTCATTTTCTGTCTCTATGTCTCTGTCTTTCTAGCAAGCACACACACCCTATAGCAAAAAAACTCCTGGGGGGAGGGGAGAGGAAGGAAGGCACAGAGAGGTTAAGTGACTTACCCAAAGTCACACAGCTGCTAAGTAGTGGAGACAGTCCTCTAAAAACCAGTAAATTGAAAATCCCTCAGCCCCCATGCCGAGGACTCAGCGGCATTCCTCACTCAAGAGATGGGATTTGCCATGATTTGCAGACCAGGATACAGAGGCTCAGAGACTTAAAGCTGCCCACCCACAGGTCTCACGGCCATCAGGGTGGGTGGGAGGATTTAGAGCCATGGTCTGGCTCCAGGCAGGGCTGGCTGGGACACTGCCACATCCCTGGATATTCTCCACATCCCGGGATCTTCTTCCAACTCCAGCCACAGGCAGCCCCAGAATAATCCGCCCCAGGACACAACAACGTCTCATTACTGTCACAGCAACCCAGCCAGGGCCACCCCAGGCCCCGAGGGAGAAGGGGGGACAGGGGCAGCTCTGGGCCCGGGAGTCCACTTTCCTGGCCTTGGAAGGGTTTTCTGTGTCTCCAGAAACACACTGGATTCGCTGCCTCCCCAGCCTCATCCCTCCGCCCCTCCCCTCCCTTTGCACTCTCTTGGGGTCACTTCAATTGTGTTCCAAGTGCTAACATGGAACCAAAGTGGGGAAGGTGGAGGGGGAGAGACATGTACGGCTTCAGGGCTGAAACTTGAGATGGCAGCCTTGGGGGCAGGGGCTGGGGGTGGAGAGAGAGGGAGACAGAGAGACAGACAGACACGGAAAG